CCCCCCCCCCCCCCTTTTATGGCCCGGGCGCGCCTGCCGCTCCGGGCACCGTTCCCGGTGGAGCCCAACGCTCGTGTCCCACCCCTGTCCCTGCAGGCACACGGTGCCGGGTCGCAGGGCGGCCGAGGCCCATGGCAAGGACAGAGCCTGGTATGAGGCGGCGCTGGGGGACGCTCATCCCGTTATCATCTACCTGCACGGCAATGGGGGCACCAGGTGAGTGGGATCCGGCAGCGGGAACATGGGCAGTCTGGCGGGAGAAGTGACACTGTGAGGACGAGGGGCCACTGCTGAGCGCCCGTGTGGCACCTCGGTGGCTGCAGTGACGCCTCTGCGCAAACCTCTTTCCCACAGGGCGGCCAGTCACCGCGTGCAGTTCATGAAGGTGAGTAGCCCCATGCGGGACAGCTGGGGAGAGCCTGGCCATGCACCCCGGCACCGTGCTGTGCACCCTGGTGTCATGCTGTGCAACCCGGTGTTGCCCCGTGCACCCTGGCAGCCCACCGTGCCCCGCGGTGTTGCACCATGCCCCTGGCATCATGCTGTGCACCCTGGTGTCATGCTGTGCAACCCGGTGTTGCCCCGTGCACCTTGGCATCATGCCGTGCACCCTGGTGTTGCCCCGTGCACCTTGGCATCATGCCGTGCACCCTGGTGTTGCCCCGTGCACCTTGGCATCATGCCGTGCACCCTGGTGTTGCCCCGTGCACCTTGGCATCATGCCGTGCACCCTGGTGTTGCCCCGTGCACCTTGGCATCATGCCGTGCACCCTGGTGTTGCCCCGTGCACCTTGGCATCATGCCGTGCACCCTGGTGTTGCCCCGTGCACCTTGGCATCATGCCGTGCACCCTGGTGTTGCCCCGTGCACCCTGGCAGCACACTGTGCACCACGGTGTTGCACCATGCACCCGGCATCACACCGTGCATCCCGGTGTTGCACCGTGCACCTTGGCATCATGCCGTGCACCCCGGTGTTGCCCCGTGCACCTTGGCATCATGCTGTGCACCCTGGTGTTGCCCCGTGCACCTTGGCATCATGCTGTGCACCCTGGTGTTGCCCCGTGCACCCTGGCAGCACACCGTGCACCCCAGCATCACGCTGTGCGCCTCGCCTTGGCCTCGTGCACCCCAGCATCACCCTGTGCCTCTTCTCTGACAGCTCATGGGCGCTGCCAACTTCCACATCCTGGCCCTGGACTACCGAGGTAAAGTCGCCGCTTGCTCCTTCCTCCTGCCGAGCGAGCACAGGCGGCCGCTCCGCACGTTGCTGATCCCGGTGCCACCCTCGCAGGCTACGGGGACTCCAGCGGCCACCCCACCGAGAGCGGCTTCACCACCGACGTCCTGGCCCTCTACGACTGGGCGAAAGCCCGGAGCGGCGACAGCCCCGTCATCTTCTGGGGACACTCGCTGGGCACGGGGTGGGAGCCGCTGTGCCGCGCCGGCACCCGCCGAGCGAGCCCGGCACCCGCAGCCTCCCGTTTCCTTCCTTCTTTTTGCAGGATAGCGACGAACGCCGCCAGGAAGCTGCACGAAGAGAGAGGTAACGTCCCCGGTCCCCGGCGCAGGGCAGGCGGCAGCGCTCGCGCTCCCTGTCCCCTGCCAACGCCTGCTCTGCTCCCAGGGGTGCAGGTTGACGCCGTGGTGCTGGAGTCGCCCTACACCAGCATCCGCGACGCGGCCGCCCACGTCCCCATCACCAAGGTGAGGAAGGACCCCCCGGCTGCGGTTTTGGGGCAGGAGGAGGGCGGGGGGGCCCGCGCCGCCCGGGGGGG